CTCCAGTCCAAGCTACGTTTGGAAGAATTAGCCTGCTTTCTACACAGAAAAGCTGTTTTTACTGTTCTTACTAATGCCAGTGGTGAAATTTTGTTCAAGATCTCAATCTGCCGTGGTGCTCAGTGTGGTTTCAGCAGTGCCCAGCTTGGGATGAGTGGGAACACTTACCATTGGCTAAGTGCTCTGGAAATGAGAGGATTGATTTGGTTGATCCCCAAAAAAATCAGGATTTTGCTGGAATCACATTTCACAGATCCCTAGCCTCTGGACCTTGAGCTGTATGGGACCAACCCCGAATTCTGGTGTAATGGTTGTATTGAGATATTTTAAAAAGCTATTGTTTCWATGTTCTTGTCTTGACAATGTTTAAAGACAGAGGCTAATAATGTGTAATTATTCTCTCAAGCATGTACTCTGCCCACATTTAATTAAAAACTACATTTCCATCTAGAAGAACGTCACTTGGGGTGTAGTGTGGCTGCCTCTTGACTCAAAGTGCAGGAGCAGGAGGTGTCACAGCATCTCTGGCAGGGGGAGACAGGATACTGACTGCTATGGGGCTTGCTCAGCCTGGCCCAGAGCACGAACAGAGATTGTTTCTCATACTAGCTTGGCTCTCTTGCACAAAAACTCTGGATGGAGGGGCAGAACGTACCCTGGGGATCTTGCAGGAATCTACTTTAAAAGTGGATTTCCAGTAAAAACTAAGAAATTAATGTGGGCAGCAGAACTATGAATTTTAGAAGTTGTATCATCACAAATGGAATGGCTTGTGCAAGAATTTGGCAGAAGAAACAAATGACCTCAAGTGCTGAGGACAAAGGCAGGGCCTCGTTATCAGACTGTATGGTTCCATACAGCCTGTTTGGGGGAAAARCACCCTGCCCCAGCTTTGAAGTGTTGAGCAGATCACTGATGGGGTGTGGACCCCTGAAACTTGGAAATTTAATTTGTTTTAAAAGCAGTTTGTAAGACCTTAAGCAAGAACAAGCATCTGGAGCTGCTCAGGTAATAGAGGGCAATAATTCAGCAATGGGACAGGGCTCTTCTGTTTTTAATCAAAACATTAATACTGTTTCTGMATGTCCTTTCTCATAATTATAAATGCAGTGTAAATGTTGCACTTACTATGTAGTGAGAGCCTGGCTGAGCCTTGCCTGTGGTAACATTCAGGTGGACAGAGCTGAAGGTGTCCTCTCTTGCTGTGCAGGTGATCCGCTCTGCTGCTGACTGGTCTGCTGGCATTAAATACCACGAGGAGTCCATCCAYAAAGCCTACATCAGCGTGATAGAGAACAGCCAGCACTACATCTACATCGAGGTGAGTGCAGGGAGGGAAGGCACCAGGGTCCTTAAGCTCTGGTATTGGCTTGYAGCCATCAGGAGGGTAATTCTTGAGGCTTGATCCTCAGCTTTTATGAATTTAGACAGAGCCATTAAGTTCAGTAGTCTTCAGGCCAAACTGATGGCTGTGTACCCTGACAGCCTTCTGACCATGAGGTGGAAAAAAGTAGACCTCCCCTTTCTAAGGCTCTTTGCAGAATTGCCAGCAGCTTTCATGGACTGTGCAATAGTCTCCCTGTCCCCTCTGTGTCTTTGCAGTGTCCCCTGTGCATGCCCAACCTCCCACTCACAGGGCAGCTCTTCATCCATAGAGCTTTAAGCTGCAAGAATCCCTTGTGTCAGAGTGACACTCAGTGCTGACTGAATGGAGATGCTTATTCTCCTATTTTTTTTTTTTGCCTCTTATTAGGTTGCTCTTTATATGAACTTGCTAAGAGTGTGATTAATAAGGACTAATTCATTCCCTAAGCAAGCACAGACACACATATCATTTAATCATAATTTAAAAAAGCTTCCACTCCAATGGCACACAAACCCAGCTATCTTTAGTTGSTCTTGGTCTGAAATAAAGCATGCAAATATTTTTGGTTGGTTGCTGGCAGTGTCTGACAGTAGCTTTGCTTGCTTTTCCTGCAGAACCAGTTTTTTATTAGCTGTGCTGATGACAAAGTTGTCTGGAACAAGATCGGTGATGCGATTGCTCAGAGGATTCTTAAAGCTCACAGGTAACCTGTTCTTAATGAGGCAGTGGAAGTCTTCCAGGAGCATTTCCATGGTGTGGTGCAAAAAATAACCCCTTGGTGGACACAGCTGGACAGTAGCTGTGCAGAAGGCAGAACTCATGGGGTCGAGCATCTGCATTTGCAGCACTGAGACTCCTGAGTGGTTTATTTGCCTACAGAAAGCAGTTTTCTGGACTTGCCCCAATGTAAATGCATATTTAACTGTGGAACTTGTTTAAAGGCAAGTCTTTTGTGCTCTGGTTCAGTGGCACCTTTGCTCCATTGCCAACTTGCCTTGAGCTGGCTGGTCAGGCAAGTTCATGGGTGGGAAGGGTGAACTGGGATTTGTGGTTTATTTAAATCATCTAGAGAGGAATGRTTTCAAATAGGGGAAGCAAACACATTTTGAGGATTTGACTGCAGGGTTCTGCTATTGTTTGATCAACTTTTTCTGGTACATGCTGGAGGGTGGTCACCACCTCCAGTCTTTGCAAGAGGACCGTTGTTTGTTCCTGAATGGATTGAAATTCTACATTGCCTAAGATTAAAAGTAAACTCAGACCTAAATGGTTTGTATCATAATGCTCATTTTCCAAATGACCTGGGAAAACAGCATTTAATTATAAATTARGTTCTGTAGTGAACTTGTATACTTCTCACTCTTCTAGACTAAATATTTTTTACTGATGTTATTAATAATGTTCTTTTCTTGGTTTCCTCTTTTTTTTTCATGGGTGGCTCTTTAACCAGTTTAATAAACACTGTCCTTACACAAACAAGCTGCCTTTTGGGGAATGTTTTTGTTGGTAGACTTTTCTCATGATACAAACAAACTTGGTTTCAGTCTCTTGTGTCTGGGTCAGGCCTCATTAACTGTTTCTGAGCTCTGCTGGCAAACCAGAGCCCATCTGCAGTGCCCAGCACAGCTGGAAGGAAGCACTGATTGAAACAAAAGACACACAGGTCCTCAGTGCCTSCCTCCCTCAGCTCAGATGGGACCCCAGGGCTTCACAATTTCCACCCCACTAAATTCACAGGCATGGCTTGCCCGAGGAAGGAATACTTCTAACAAAAACTACGGACTGGCTACTCCTCGGAGTGCTTCTGAAATGGTTTTGTGCTGATTAAACTGTGTTTGCCATCTAGTGGCAGCATCCTTSCATGGAGCATTGTCCTCATCCTCCTCCGGGGCACAAAGCACGGAGCTCCCAGCACCCAGGGGCACCTGGAAMGTGCTCTCAGAGCAGATGCACCTGGCATTTGTCAGCAGAGGAAATCCAAAGAGGGGCTTTGAGGAAAGCCCCGAGCAATACCACAATTATACCTTTTGTTGTGAATGGGATCACAGTTAGGGTATGGATTAGTTTGGGAGAACTCGGGAACTGAGGTTTTGGGTGCTGTGATGTATCAAGGACATATTTGCCTTCTCCAAATGATGAACGTTTTGCTTGTGCCTTGAGGTTTTTCCACCTTTTGTGATGTTTCTGATTTCTGAAACCAGTTGGGTTAGATTTTGGGTTTCTGCCTGTGATAGCTCTGTAACYTTTGCTGTGCTCTGCCAGGCAGTCATACACACCAGTGTCAGTGTGGCTGTGCTACTGAGGTGCTCAAACAAATTTTTACAGTGGCAGACACRATCTGTAAAATTCTTAGCCTGGTCCTGAATTTCAGTAAAAGTGTGTTTCTTTTCCTTTAGCTTCTTTTGTTGTCTGCTGACAGTAAATCATTCTTTCTTGGGTGGTGAAGACCTGAAACTGGAAATGCACTTCACACTTCACTCCCTTAAAATTTGCGTGGTGGCTCTGGATGGGAGCCAAGTCGGTCAGCTCGGRGSAAGTGAAACTTAGRGGACTTCACCTCGTGCAAAGCCTTMACTTTTGCAGRCTGGTGTAACACTCCCAGGCTGATATTTCCCCAAACTCTCCTTTCAGGGAAAACAAGCGTTTCCGAGTGTACGTGGTGATCCCGCTGCTGCCGGGCTTCGAGGGGGACATTTCGACAGGCGGGGGCAACGCGCTGCAGGCCATCATGCACTTCAACTACAGGTACCACASACCCCCTGGACACCTGCACTGCTGCTGGGGGTCCCCAAGCCCCTGCTGCCATCAGTGGGACCGTTTTGGACAGAGCTTTGGGCAGCCTGGTCTAGTGGAAGGTGTCCCTGCCCATGATAGGGAGCTGGAGCTGGATGAGCTTTAAGGTCCCTTCCAGCCCAAACCATTCTGTGATTTGTTCTCCACTTAGCTGATCAAACCAGAGTTKCTGACCAAGATTTGTTTCCAAATCTACCTTTTTGGTCAATATTTGGCCTGGCTCTGTCTGTTGGGCCCATGAAGGCAATGGTATGTTCCCCAGTGTGATTCCAGGATGGATGTTTTGGGGGAGCCCAGCAGGTCTCATGGGAAGGACTGRGGTGCAGCAGTGCTGGGTAGCCCTTGTGCTAGCAATGTAGGGGAAGGTAAAATGGCCCAAGATGGTTTTACTGGAAAGCTGCTGTGCTGTGATGTGGCCAGGGTAGAGTCAATTTTGCAGAAATTCTGCAAACCTCAGAGTGAAATCCCCCTTGTCTGCTGGCCTGCAGGGGTCCTGCTGCACTTCCAGAGRGATGAGTGGGGCACGGGACACAAGCAGAAGGAAAGCAGCATGTCCCACTGTCCCTTCTGCTTTAGCTTTTTCCTGCAAGGGCAACCATCATTCTTGAGGAATTGCCCGTGGATTGGTTGTTTGTCAGTGGAGTGCCAACTGTGGCTTTTCCAGCCCAGCCAGAATCACACCAACTCCCCAACCTGGCGTTCTGTGCATGTTGACGTTTTTCTTAATGTGATCTCACATCCAGGCCTGAGGCATGGAGGGTAGCAGCCTTGCTTGTCACATGTTTACCATCATTGCCACATGCTCTAGAAGGCAGAAGTGCTCCATGGCTCCTCTGTGGGTTGGTAGGAGCTCCTTTTAGAACAGGGGCAGTCCTTGATGTATCAGCAGTCATTTGGGAGGAAAGTGTGCTCTGGAAACACAGTTTGTCCTGTTGCAAGGGGTATTTGAGAGGCATCTGTGTTTGAGATTTACCCTGCCTGGTTCTGCTCCAGCACATGGGGGTGCTGAAGGCTGCCTACTTTCTTTCCAGGACCATGTGCCGAGGGGAAAACTCCATCCTGGGCCAGCTGAAGGCAGAAGGTAAGAGCTTTATTCCTTCCTCTGTGTTGTTTACTTTGGGATGCATCTATAACACATAATACAACACATGTTGTGGGCTCATGGGGCTGTGAGTGACCTCCTCCTTGACCATCCTCCCATGGTGAGTTGTTTCAGGTCACACAAGCCATGACCACTTGTCAGACTTCACACCTGGCTGCAGCCCTGATCCAGAGGAGGGGAACACCCCTGGGAGGAGCACAGCAGCTGCTCAGGATTGTGTTATTTGGAAAATGTCCTGAGCAGGGTCACGCTTTTGGGAGCCCTGAGCCCTCAGCCTGCCCTGTGGATCCCACCCAGGGTTTGTTTTTGGCAGTTTCTGATGTGGAGAGGAAGAACCTGCCTAAACAGGCTGTTTCTGAGTTGCTTCCTTGCCATGAGGAATCCTGCTGGAATTTGCTGTGCTGGGAATCGGAGCACCGTGAAAACCCACATATCACAAATTCTAGGACTGTGCATAATGCCTCATTTGTTTTCTAAGTCTTGGCATGAAACTGAACCACACACAAGTGCATTAGGACACATTTGCCATTCTGACATGGATGAAACATCTGCTTCCAGCCTCCTTTCTGCAGGATCTGCAGGAAAACAGTCACATAGTCCATTTTTTTTTAAAGATGTGTAGACCCTTGTGTGCTGTGTCCAGGAGACTGGGGTTATTTCTCACTGAAGTAGGAGTAGATGAAGTTTCTCAGCAGGCAGCAGATCAGAGCAGCACAGGGAGCTCACAAGAAAATTTTCACGTCTATTTTTTGAAATATTTATTTCTGTTATCTGTTCATTTATAATTTTTTTWAAAAGTAAAAGTGAACTATTATTCACAGGGGTCTTCATGTAAACAAGGTATTTTCTCTTCCACCTCCTTCATCCTATSAGTTTTCCTGTCTTTTAATTTTCAGTTGGAGATAAGTGGATAAACTACATATCATTTTGTGGACTTCGAACATACGCAGAGCTGGAAGGAAAACTGGTCACAGAGCTCATCTATGTGCACAGCAAACTGCTCATTGCTGATGACAACACAGTTATAATTGGTGAGGAGGGGCTCACAGAGGGGTTTGGGGCACTGGGTCATACCTGGATCAATCCCTTCCCATCCCCATGCACAGTGCAGGCTGCACTGCCAYGGGCTTCTCTGTGTTGTCATTTCTTTCCTGAGAAAGATTTTGCAGTTGAAAGAAACAAACCCAAAAACCAAACTCATAAATTCATCAAGAGGGAGGAAAGGATTCAGAGGGCTGTCATTTAGTTTGTTTTTCTATAATGGTTTCAAATCTGTGTGTAACCGTGAGGAGAATCCCAGTGCAGGGAATATTGTCCATCTGTCTTGTATCAAACTCTGCTCTAGCAGGAAGACTTGTGAGACTTGTCATCTGTTCCTGAAAGAACAGAATGTGCCGTAAAATTTGGAAGGTTTGGACAACATGTGTCATGTATCAGCTCCATTTCCTAAGAATGGGACAATATGCTATAGGGAGTAATGGATATCATTTCATCCTCTTCTCTTACCGTATTTATTATGAGAACATGAAGCAAAGACAAGAGAGTTCAGGCTCAGAGCTCTACACTGCAGCAGAATTATAGCCTGTTTCTTTAAAAAAAGCTCTTTTTGAGCTCTTATGTCAGCAATGAAAATCTTGCCAATGRATAACTTAATCCCAGATTTTACAGGACTTGAAATTCTCCCTCCCTCCAAAGCAGTGGTCTTGGATGACCTCTGGTGAAGTTTGCTCCTCTGTCACCCTCTCAGGGGCCAGATCCCATCTCCAGTGCACAGAGTGGCTCAGAGGTGGTTTGATAMCACAGCAGGAGCTGTGTTGTTCCAGCTGGGATGGTTTGGGGGCCCAAGRCAGCTCCTAATTTCTATTTTCTATACCTGTAGTCTTGAGGATAGATTTTTATACATCCTGTGCCTCTCTGCTGCCTGGTGAGGGGATGGGAATGGCGCTCCTGAAKGAGCTGAGGGGTGCAGAGAGCAGTGGGAGGTGATGCAGGGTGTTCAGGAGCACCTCGAGCAGCAGTGACATTGCTGTGCCCACCCTGCCCAGGCTCTGCCAACATCAACGACCGCAGCATGCTGGGCAAGCGGGACAGCGAGATGGCCATCATCGTGCAGGACACCGACACCGTGCCCTCCGTCATGGACAGCCACGATTACAGCGCTGGCAGATTCGCCCAGTCCCTGCGGCTGCGCTGCTTCAGGTGGGTGTGGGGCTGCCCCACGGCAGGGAGGGGTGTGGGCATGGAGCACAGGGATGCAGGCAGGGCTTGCTTGGGTTTAACCTCCCTCCCAGCCTTTCAAACCCCTGGGGCTGCCACTGCCTGCCAGCTTTAGATCTGCCTTGCCTGCACTTAGTCCAGGTTGTTTCTCTGACCTTCCTCTCACTGCTCCTGTCCACAGCTTGGGAGCTTGACTTTACAAATTGTTTTATGCAGAGTTCATAAACAAATGGTGTTTCCCCTCCAGATCCCATTTGAACATTCTCTCAATCTTTGGTGGCAGTGTCACTTTTATAGGGAAGCTTCTTTGCTGCCATTTTTAGTTTAAGACCTTTTTCTTGTTCATTTTTTTTTCCCCCACCCTGTTTTCCATCTGGACAATTTCTGCACAGAAGAAAAGGAGAAAACCAAGCATCATTACAGCTGACAGATTATCACAGGGGGTGGGAGTGGGAGGGTGCTGAGAGCACACAGGGTTTGGCAGGCCCAAGGAAACTTCTTGTCTCCTGGCATTTATCRAGAGGGGGAGTGCCCAGTGCTTCAGCTTCTGTGAGCATCCATCCCTTTGTCTTTTCAGGGTTGTCCTTGGCGGCTCCGATCTCAATCCGGAACACCAGGATCCCGTCTGTGACAAATTCTTCAAGGAAGTGTGGATTTCCACAGCAGCTCGCAATGCCACCATCTTTGATAAGGTGAGGAGCACAGCAGCTTTCCCCTCCCTCCATCCCACCACAGACAGCAGATGCCAATGGGAGGAGCAGCACAGGGAGGGCAAAGGCAGCAGGTCCAATTCCTGCCTTGGGCCTTCAGAGATGTTTTGGAGGAATAAGTAGTGTCAGATGCAAGAGCTGTGGACAAGACACTGGAGTTGGTTCATCCTCAGAGTGGATTCTGCATTCTGCACCATGAAGGCAGCAGATCAGATTTCTCCCTGTGTTTGTATCAGCTGTAGCTCCAGTGAATGGCCATGGTATAGTTACTACTTGTAATTAGCCAGAGCGTAACTGGAGTAGAGGAATCTTTTACTTCTGTCTTCTAATGAGCTTTTGCAGTGATCAGAAAAGGCCCTGAAGCTTCCTCTTTGCCTGCTCCAGCCTCATTGAGGACAGGCATATACCTCTTCCCTCCCTGTTCTCCAGGCTGTTAATTAAGTCACTCCCATCCTGGGGAATTTGTCCTGCATGCTTTGGACTTCCTCAGAAACTCTGAATTGCMGCATTTCCCCTGCACTGACAGGCAACTTCTTCTTTCTGTTTTGATCAGGTGTTTCGATGCCTTCCCAGTGACCAGGTGAATAACTTAACCCAGCTGCGTGAGTTCATCAACAAGCCCAAATTAGCAAATGATGATCCTGCCAAAGCAGCAGAAGAATTGAAAAAGATTCGTGGGTTTTTAGTACAATTCCCYTTTCGTTTTCTGGAGGAAGAGTACTTGCTTCCCTCTGTTGGAACAAAGGAGTCCATGGTACCCATGGAGGTTTGGACTTAAGAAGATGCAGACTGCTTTACCTTTTAAAGTCTTGTTCTCAGGAGAGAAGTTAATGAAAAATACAGGATTTTGGAAAGTGAAAGGAGACGAGAGACTTCTCCACCAAGCTAACGTGCCTTTCCTAAGGATTTTGGTGGAGGAACTTGAGGCAAATCAACACTAGCAGAGGAGAGGAGCAGAAAGACTTGGAAATAATGACAGAYGAGAGGTTTAACCTCTGGAGGAGTTACTTCAGGCATGTTCTGAGCATCTCAAGGATGCAGGCTGCTTCCTAGGACAGGAACTGACTGCCCATCGATGTTGTCAGCAGTGCCAGCTGTGTCCTGTGGTTGTGTTCATACTGTGATCGTGCTGTGGCTGCACAGGAGTCGTGGGCTGTGTGTGCTGCTTCTCAGGCTTTGGCTCTCTGCCCCTGGGCTCCATGATTTCCCCATCTCACCCCTCCACATGAGCAGCCCCGCTGCTGTCAGGAAGTGCCATTTGCTGCTGCCTTGGGCTGTCCTGCAGCTTTCCAAGCAGAGGAGAAGTGTTTCACTTCTTAAAGGAAAATGGACTAACAATCCTCTATCAGAATCAGCATTTTGGGCTCTTCATCCCTTTGGGGAAAAAAAATCCTATTGCAGCTGGAGCAATCAGCATCCCTCAGGCGTGGCAAAGAGCTGTCTCAGTGGAGCTGGCCTTCAAGACACACAGCATGACAGTTTGATCCCACCGAGGGTCACAGCTTTCCCAAGGAGAGGATCAAGGTTCCAGCTTAAGCCTGAGGTCTCCAGAGCTGAAGGAAGCCAAGGCACTGCATGTAACAGGACAGAAACTTGAAAGTCAGCATGAGCTGTCAAGCTCTGTGCTCGGGGCCTCTGCTTGTGTGTTTATCTTGGGGTTTATGGGTGGGTTTTCATTTCCATCCCTTTCTCCCCATTTAAAAGCAGGGAAAGGCCATTAAGCTGGCACTGTGTTTAAACCAAGCTGGCATGTGGATTTGTGGATGTGAGAATGCAGAGGGGAAGGGGAACAGGTCACAAAGCCTTGTATCTGCKCTGCTCTGTTACTGAACCAGCCACAGCCTTGAGCTCAGTCATGCAAKACTTGTCTTACCCTACCAACCAGAGGTGAAACTCAGCATGCACATTCCCTTTTTCCATTGCTGTAAGACAGTTTCAAAGCTCTTTCACATCTCCTTGTGCAGAGAAGCAGCAATTCARTCCAGCATCCCTGGGAAAAACACTGCTGTTCCTGGGTTAGGACTTTGTGTATTGGGCACCAGCTTGGGCCTTATCTCCATGCTCCATCTACAAGGAGCTGTGTCTCCCAATTTTATGAGATGTTCCTGGCATTGCTCTGCCATGTGCTGGGAGAGCAGAGCTTTAGAAAACACCCAAGAGAGTTGGATCTGGAGGAGTGGGAGGCTGAGCTCTTCTGCTGCCCCTGCATGCAGGAATCCTTTCYCCAGCTGAGTTATACCTGTGCCCAATACTCCTCAGTCACAAGGCCCAGTGAACTGATATTTGTTTTAGGTCACAGAAAAGTTTATCTTTTCCTTTTGTGGCTCTTCCARCAGTTTTTTAACTGGCAAAGAATCCCACTGGTCGCCTAGTTATCCCCAAACATAGCTGGCACCWCATTTTAGCTGTTTTGTCTGCTGTGTTCAGACTGTAAATAGGCACCAGCTAATTCTGTAACTGCTGCATCACCCAAGTAGGGAACAAACCCCARATGTTCTTCCAAATCTCAGCCATTCCTACAGCTCCCACTGTTTTACTGTGTTTTGTAGATGCAGTTGCCTTTTACACTCCCTCTTGGCTGGTGCATCTGTGGTCTGGTTCACCTTTGGGAAGTGCAAGTGCAGCGTTTTATGTGATTGAGTCCAGGGGGTTGATGCTTTTACCTGGCATGCTGTAAGCACACAAATATGTTCCCTTGATTTTTTCCCTTAAAAAAATTGACCTGGGGTCACCCCCTGCAGAGCCAAAGCAATGTGTGCCCTGACCATTTGCAATCAAGATCAAAGGTGTCCTGTTATTTCACATCAGTGCAGGTTCAGAGCTTTTCTCTCCTGATGTTTTTAGCTATTTTAGTTCGACTGAATCTGCTGACTTTAAACAATTACAGCCTGCCAGAGAATCCTTGTCAGTCACACAGATCCATGTTCAGAGTCAGACAGTGTTCAACCCCACCACCTATACACTGAACCTTGAAGTGCAACGCTCCTGTCACCTTCTAAGTGCTCTTATTCTCCTCGTCCTCATATTAGCAATGTTCTTTCTAACAGTTAAATTATTCTTACATTCTTTTTTAAAACAGTAGGTAGGTAATTGTAACTCCASGGGCACAAACTCCCCCTCTGCCAGGCTGCTTTTGGGAGAAATCACCCAGATTCTGTAACACTCAGCCTCCTGTGGGATAGCTGCTGGTCCCCAGTGACACAGCAGAGCCATGGAGGGAGATGTCATTGACTGATTCTGTATGAAAAGGTGCTAATTAAGGTCTTTTGTTACTGAAGGAGCAGCCAGGTCTGATGTTGGCTCTCTGTCCGGGAGGAGGTTCCCATCTGTGGGATCAGAGGCGCTTCTCTGAGCATCCCTTCCCTGTGTTGTGTTAAATTCCTGATACTGGGAATTTAAAGGCAAGCAGGGTGTGCACAGCAGCCTCGGCACAGGGAGGGGATCCCAGCATCTCCAGGCTCCTGTGGGGACACCAAGTTCCCTCTGAAAGCAGCACTGCTCACCCCAAATGGACAATAGGGCTGGAGCCACTCCCGGGGAAGGCCCTGCTCATTCACCCCATGGGCTGTGCTGTTTGGGGCTGGCTCCTTGGGTCCTGTCAGCTGCAGGTTTGTTTCTTATATTAAGAAGACTGTGAGGTTGAACACCTTGACAGAGTTGATTTCCTGAACAATCACTACTTCTTAGTCTGTCACACCAGCCTGGGCTTCAAAGTGGAGAGGGTCACCCACAGATACCCAGAGCTGGAACAGGTGATGTGGATTCAAGCTCTAGCAACCCCAGGAACATCAACTGTTTMTTGTGGCATTTATTTGTTAGAACCATAGAAATGAGAACTCCCAGGCTCAGACTTTATTCTGTAATTCAACCAGAGTTGATAGAACACTTCCCTTTAATTTATTCCTTAACACGTGCCACTTTGGGACCTTACACTCCTTCCCTTAAATTTTAATAGTCTGGTATTTTAAAATATGTGTTTTGTTGTATAGATTATGGACTGGATAAATGTTTTGCTGTAAAGTTAATGCATGATTTAAAAAATGAGGGATGAAATGTCATTGTCTGCAAGAACTGTACTAAAAAAAAATAATTTAGAGGAGAACCACTGCAGTGCTCCATGGCAGAGGCGAAGTGCTCAGCTCRGTTTCTGGTCTCTTGGTCTGTGTTCCCTGACTTGGTGTGAGCTTTGTTAAACCCCAAATGCTCCATTTTCCTTTCTTTCCATCAAGTTTCACAACATGATTTTGCAATCGCGGTGCTGTCCCTGGGAGAACCTCGGTGCAGGTGTTGCCTAGCTGGGACTCTTCCATGGATAATTTACAATGTCTTTATTCCTTCCAAGRGAGCATCCCTGTACAATCAAGTGCAGATGTGGTTTCTGTTGTTATTTCAATGTAATGAGCCTTGTGCATTTGTAGCAAGGACACTCAGGGGTTGTACCTGGGCACGGAGCTGCATTTCTGGGGACACTCTACAGCTATGAGAGAACTGTGGGATAATGCCATTCCCTCCCTGCTGAATGTGGAGAYTCAAATCCATGCTGGGCTACAGTGACCCCTCTCAGCAGCAGCAGAGCTTTTCATGGCCAAAGGAGAGAAAACCAGTGGTGTCCAGACCAGCATATGAGCAGAGTTTGGCACGAGAACTGTCACAGCTTGTGGCACTCACTCTGCAAATGGTGTCAAAGGAGCAATCCCTCCTGCACTGCTGAGCTGCTGCTGAAACCAGGAGCTTTGCAGAATGCCACTTTAAACCCAGAGTAACTTCACGGCAGTGAATCAAGGCCAGCATGTGAATCTGTGTGTGTCAAAGTGGAGCAGCCCCACGAACCAGACATCGACCACTGAATGCAATGAGCCTCTTGGGCTGTCACTTTTTCCTATTTTCCTTTCCCTGCCTGCTTTCTTGTTGTATTTTCCAGTATTTGTGATTATTCTATTTTTAACCTTCCAGTGTCTTTTCATAAAATCTCCTGTGTAAATAATTCCAACTTTCCCTAGTCCTGACATTAGGGAAATGAGAAAAAGTGTCCAAAAGTCACAGTTTTGGGAATGTTTGTTTTTTTTTTAATTGTGTCTCTAGCTAAACTAACCCACAAAAGGAGAGCTTCCACTTGGGGTGTGAGCACAGGTCTCCATGCATCCCTCCCTTTTGACTGCTGCTGTGACACTGAATATCCCTTCTGTGAAGGCTGCTGGAACTGAATTTTGTATCCTTGTTCCTGCTAACAATCGCTTTCCTTTCCACTCCGTTTGTATCTGGTAAATGAATGTGTATTAATGGACTGAAAATACAACCGATCATCATGTCACAGCGTTTGGCTTTGGTGTCATTTCTCCTTCTTTTGGGGGCTGCATCTGCCTTKGGCTGAGTTCTGTCCTTGCTCTGCATCAGCAGTGCTGCTGCAGCAGCCAGGACGTGATGGGGAAAGGCCCAGAATTGCAATAAAAATGGCTGGACTTGAGTCGTTTGGGTTTTCCTGGGAGAGAGAAATTGCTGAGGTGAAACAGCRTAGAAAGAAAATTGGACTTCTTAAATAGATTAAAAAGTCGTGTTTAAAGGAGTTTTAATAGTCCAAAAGCATTTTGAAAGGCATAGACAAAAACACTCTGTCTCCAAAACAGAATTAACTTGCCCCTGTCTCCTTTAACTTCCAGTAAAGGAAATTCAGGGTAGAGAGAGAAAGGAGCAGCTGCCTGTTGTCCTCCAGGGGCAGAAGAGATTAATAAAGCATCAGTGCCATTTCCAAGCTCTCTTGCAAACTGAAAACATAYTAACTTCTCCATTTCTTAGGTTTCATCTCCTTCCTCAGATGCCAGAGGGYTCTCTGCGTTTTCAGAACTTCCAAACCCAATCTGTGTCCTCGACAGACACAGAACCACGACAGAGCCACAGGGTGAGGCAGGGCTTGGTGAGAGGCAGCTGAGTAACACCATCAGCTTCAGCCTCTCCCTGCTGTTTATGAGCTTCCCCCATCCCCTTCCAGGCTTTTGGAGAGGAGACAGTGGCAAGGGGGATGGATGAGGGACCTGACAGTGCTGGGGACACGGTGCTGAGCCCAGGGATGGCAGCAGGGTGGCTGTGCTGGTCACACAGGGCACACAACCATTGCTTGGTTTCTGTGTGAGCAGCAGGAGAGCCATGGGATCACAGCTGAGACTATCTTGGTGTGAAATTAATGTGAAACTGGAAGTGTCCTGAACATGGGGAGCTCAGGTTTCAATTTGTAGGAAGATCCTTTCTCTTTTTTACATGGWTGTCCTGGTTTTGGTGGGCATGGAGTTCATTTTTCCTTAGTAGCCRGTGCAGTGTTCTGTTTTGGATTCAAGCARGGGCCCAACTCGAGGGCACTGTTGMTGTTTTTGCTGTTTTCCCTCTCCTMCAATGCTCTTACAGGGCATGACTTGGTTCCCATCCATCCCTGAAAGCAGCAGTGAATGCCAGCTTAGG